TAAGATTTCGCAAGTATTTCAATCACATAATTGTGTGAACATTTATATGTTTTTCGTTTATAGATTTTGCAAATCTGAAATAACTATCCGTTGAATAATATAATGCTTGTTTTTGAAGTTTTAAGTCTTGGTCTTTTCGAATCAGGAAGCTGAAAGTGAAATTTACCAGCTGAATTGCTATTATGTTTGGAGTCGATGAAAAAATCTTCGACCACACATAAAGTCACCTTTCTATAGAAAAACATGCACCGACCATATCAATCATATTTTTTTTTCAACCACACTTTAATTAAAATATGATATCGTGATTGGTAATCCAATTAGGTAGAAAGATGTTTACAAAAAAAAATTTTAAATCTAGAACGTGTAGAACGGACCAAACAGTCCGCTTTCAAATTAAAAATACGAAAAATTAAAAAAATTGAAAAGTGATGAAAACGGTTATATATCTCCCAGAATCTTGCCGAGAAAATAGAGAAAACCGGCCATTCATCCGGATTGCAAACGATATCCACCAAATTTAAACACTCTGTTTCAAAAACATAACAATTCAATCTTCTCTCCACTATGCATGACATCGCCCAAATGAAAGCTTCCATCTCCGAATCATCTATGTATATACTCATAATATTCAACATTTCTAGAAATATAGAAAAACAATACAGTAATTAAATTAAATATATAATCCAAAATGACAATTAAAAGTTAATACTATATCACAATATAGTTGATATAATGGATTAACTAGTTTACTAAATATACAAGATAACAAATTTACACGCACATGAAACAAAATTATAACACACCATAACCATTAGACCAAATGTGTTTCTACATTTTCTTATATCATAGTTTTATAATTTCGCTTTAGCTCATGCAGATTCTTTTCAGAGGAATAGTGGAATACCATAAATTACCACCCAAACAAAAAAAATGTTTTCCATAAATACATCAATCTCTTTTCATATTAGAAAGTTCGTAAGATTTCCTAAATATTTTGTTGCAATTTAAAGTAAATAAAAGTAGAAAGAGTACTGTTAATATATTTTACAATGACCCTCCTTTAACTAAACTCAAAAGAAAACCTTATTATATTTGTGTATCAATCTCCTATAAAGTCTACATATAATTACTTAGAGGCACATCATTAAAATCTCTTAACAAATTTTCCACTTTCTCT